AGGAAGGAGGAGGTGGTGGTGGGGGTGGAGGAGGTGACTCGCCGCCGAAATGCACCAGGTGTCGTACAGATCAGGACTCAATTCGAATGCAGGTCGAAACGAGAGGTTCTGGAAGAAGATCGAGTGCCGGGATCGGCGTTGCCGTGCTCATCACGGGCAGCATGCTGCCGCTGGCAAAGCCGCTCCTACCGCCACAACGTACGATCCATCGATCGCTTCGAGTCGATCGTGCCGAGATCAACGATCTCACCTACCCCCCTCTCGCATTTTATTCAGATACAGAGGATCCTTGCCACCTTCGAACGTCTTTCTTATAGGGTTGGCGCTCTGGTGTTTAACGTTCTCGCCCGTACAACCGCGACAGAATCATCATCAAACATGTCCAGGTTGTCCGCATCAGCAGCACCAACAACACCACCAACAACACAGAGAACATCAACAGGAACAAGACCAACAACAACATATACACGAGACGCACTATAGGGGCGGTGGTTCCGAAAGGAAGGACACCGTAACGCCTACTCCGGACGACCTAAGGTTGGAGGCTATCAAACACCAGATACTCACTAAACTTGGCCTTAGGGCACGACCGGACGTGAACAGAACTTTGGCCACCGTACCGAGGCACTTGGCTCTCGAAACTCTATACAGAGCCGAGGCTCAGTCCTCTCGTTATCCATCTTCCGATAGATCGAGGAACGATCGCGAGAACGTGTACTCCGCAGAGTTCCTTTACGGTGCCGACGAATACTCCTATAGGAATCTCGATCAACGAGTCGACAGCTCTGCGAAAGACAACAACGCGAGGATCGCTTCTTCCTATCGAGGCTATGGCGAACACGAGGGTCAAGAACCGGAAGAGGAGATGGACGATTTCTACGCGAGAACCTCCGAGATCATCACGTTTGCCGAACCTGGTAAGTTTCCACCCTTCCACGAGTTTCGTCCTTCTTCGCTCGATCCTTCGTCTTCTTATTGTCAGACGTTCGTCCGTCGTCCGTCGTCCGTTGTTCGTCGTCCGTTCGTCGCACAAGCTCTTGAAACGCGCACGTCTTCTCCAAGCTTACGAATCACGCAGTTTTCCAAACGATAGTTGTCTTTCCTAATTTTCTGAATTACTTCGATCCAGTTAGATTTACGATATCACGCTGCGCTATTAGTATCGATTACGCTGTTCTAACGCCACACATCGATAAGAGCCAACAAATCGCTACTTGCAATTAGTTCACGCGCCCTGAATCTGTATGAACAGTTTTATTCTCTTTGCTAGAGACGGTATCGATTCGACGATCATCGGCCGATGACGAAACGGAAATCGTTGAACGGATAGAAAGGCGTGGTTGGTACATAAAAATCGCTCGAAACTCTTACGTTTGCCGGCCGATAAACGGCTAAAAATGGTCCCATTGAATATCAAGGTTTGTCGCTAAAACGAATAATCGATCGTTCGGATATTTTTGCGATCTTTGCCAAATGTACAATTGCGCAAAACGTCTCGTAGCTCGGTACGCATGCAGCTACTTACAATTGTATTCCAACTTTGTGCACACAATCGCAACAGTCGTGTTTCGTTACGGCGTGGATACAGTTTTAACGTGGTTTATATAACACGCATAATTAATCGCCATGCAAATGACCTAATAAATACAATGGCGTAGAAATACTTTTTGCAGCCGCTGTAAAAGCGTTGTGCGGTAAGTATTCGAGCATTTTCGCGAGCCGCTGTATTACCGTCGACGATTCAGTTTCCGTTCGATCGGACTTTTCGCGAACCACCACGTTGCAAATGGAATACGTGGTTCGTTCGGAATCCACTTGGTCGATTGGCCTGTTGCCTGAATCGCGAGCAGATGAATCGCCAAAGAACAACAGGATTGCTGGGAATAATAGAAAAGAGAGAAAGAGAGTGTGAGCGGAGGGTGGGTTTAGGCGAAGAAAAGGAGAGGAAAAGAGGTACATATACGCAGAAAATGTCACGAACGACACCTTGATTCGCATGCATGCGTGGCCACACGGCTGAAGCCACGTGGCTCGTAGATATGGGTGTCGCGCCACGACAGTCTATAGTTCGTTCTGTAGTTCAGTAACTCTAAGTTTAACAATAAGGGTAATAGAGCTAGCCGGAGCTACAAGAAACACGTTGGCCAGCATTTACGACCGTGTCATTTCTATCGTATTCGTCGTGGTTAAATTAACGAATTCTTTCGCCGTATACAGTGGCACACGAATACGTGTCATAGGAAACTTTTGCATATACGTGTGTTTGTATAAAACATTTGACAATTTCATTGGCCCTGTGTAACGAGACACGGTTGTCGTCGTCGTATTGGTCAAATTTGAAGCTGGTCTAAGAACGTACGTAAAAGTTACGAGACGTTCGCTGCAAACACGTATTTAGTAGAAAGTTGGTAAGACATCACTGGCTTCTATGTACGTTTACAGATTTCCTTCGAACTTCTCCGATATAATCGCGATAGTCTCGTTATACTGCTAACGAAGTTACAAAATGTTTCGTACGACGCAGACGCTATATATTGGTAAAAAGTTTCCACAGGATCTTCGATACTCTGTTACGCTGCTCTGCCTAATAGCAGCTTCTTATTTTTCGAGATACGTTCGAGCGAACTTACGTTACACGGATAGTTAGAAGGAGTAACGATAAAGATGACAAAAGGAAAACGAGGAAAAACTTTAGCTTCCTCCACTTTCGAAATTCGTACAATTCAGTCAAACAGAAAGGTAGAAATGTAATGCGAAAGATTTATAAGACGATTCAAATGTCGTTCAATTCGTATTTAATATCAGGTATCACTAGTATTTACTAGTATAAACTAGTAGTTACAGACCTATAAGAATGCCATCTCGTAAAGAAAAAGTTGTTACACGTTTCAGAGTCAATGATTCGCTGATTTAAGGGGAACGAGCGATCGGGTTGGATCCTCCGAGACCACGTTACGACAGACGATCGTATTGAGATCGGCATTCGGTTGTTGCAAGCGCGTGTCAACCTTAAGAGATCCTTTCTGTTTGCCGAAACGAGAGCAAGATGGAAGTAAAAATGTTGGAGGATCGTAGCAGGATTAATTCGTCGTGGCGACAAACAGCGATAAGCATAAAACGAACGACTCTGGTATTCCAAGACGATCGTTCGGTTTGGTTGTTAGAGTACGGGGTGTTGGTGAATATTTCGCACGCGCGCAAATTCGTGGTCGTCGCCCTGGCGGCGCACATCGGTTGCTCGATAAGCGTGTTACAATACGACATGCGTAATACTTTAACGTTAATATTGCCGTCACTATACATAGCCGGTGAACACGTCATTCTTTTTGAAGAAACTAAAGAAACTATAAAGCACCATCGCCTCTTTCGTATCGATCTCTTCAGCAACGAGGGAGGGGGAGGGGCGCGGAGTAACTTTTCCTCCACATTTTTCCTTTTTGAGCCGCGTAACACGCCGAAATTCCTATAGTCCGTGGTATCACCTGACTCGGTGTACGAACATCGTTTACTAGCCAGATTTTCTTCAGACAAATCTCGTTCGCACACAGATAAGTGGAGCGACTTAGATGCCGGACAAATACGACCGGATGCTGGAGATCGAAGAACAGGAAACGACGAAACTCGGTCTCGATGAGGCGAAGCTTCGTGGAACGCGAAACGTGGAACGCAGCAGAAAAAATCACGTGCAAATTTCTTCCTCGTTCGTTACGAAAATAATCGAAATCGTTGGAAATAAATCGATCCGATCGAATCTTAACGCGTTGACTCGCTAGATTTTTTTAGAGACCATTGAAACAAGATACTTTTTTTAATGGACTAAACAATTGCCGATAACTAGCGACAGAGCGGGCAATTATGGTACAATATTTTGTGGAAATTGAACGTTATGGCGTAACGTTTGGGAAAGTATCGCGATCGCCAGCGCAAAAGATATAAAATACCAGTGGCGAAGAATGCGTTGGAGAAATTCGTCGAGGTGAAGAGGAACAGTTTATGGAGAGAATAGATATGAGAAAGCGTTTGAACAATGTGAAGAATCTCAAGGACTCGAACAATTTCAAGAATTTCCAGGTTTACGAGTAAACGGGAGAACTTTGCGCTTAATCTGCTACGTGGCAACCGGTTTACGTTTAAACGTTTATCTAACCAAAGAATCGAGCTTCGAATTTTACTTTATCAGATACGCCGAGTTAAATTAAAAATCGCGCGTGTATCGAGTGGTTGCTCGGGAAAAGTAGCTACGTAGATAGCAACCGATGATTAATTTACTGATAACTCAAGGACGATGCTCTTTAAATAACACGGCTTACTTGTCATTTCCAAGTGAACCAAAGTATCTTCTTACTTTTTCTTCCTTCAACTAAAAATATTTAGTCGTTATCTTGTGGCAGCATGGTATAATATTAATATCATTCAGAAGATAAGAAACGCGACAAGTTTCGCGTATCTGGATATATAAACAACCGGTTGTTTGCTTGTAATTACTAAGTAAAATCTTAAATGCTTTCCTTTATTCTTGCTGCATGCGCATCTCCCATTCTTCCTCGATTATTCCAACGTATATAGTCTGGCCATTACTTATCGAACGATATAACTGGCAGTAATTTTCGAAAGAAAAGCGTCGTTCTTGACAGGGAATTGCACTATCGTGCCTAAACGCAGTCGTCGGTTGCTATGCTTAATTAATAATTAGTTACACTCGAATATACGTGTGTATACTCGTGTTAACGTAGACGGGAGCCAAATTTCCGACTGTTCCTTCTCCGATGATTCTTCCCTTTTCCTCTTCGTTGAATCTTTTCTTGGGATCGTATTCGTTCCGTGGAAAGTTTTCTATGTCGAGCAACTTTCTGATTATTTGACCCTCTGCACAAGAACACGGTCTAATTGATTTTCTGTCTAAACCGTCTGCCTTTACGTACAGATGCGAAACATAGATTTTTTTTCAATCGCACAAGGCCTATCCAACTGTGAAAATAATTTCTATTTATGTACGATCCTTTAACTATCCATTTAGCTACGAAAATAATTCCTATTTATGTACGATCGTTCGAATTCGTTCGATCGATCCGATTACTCTGTTTTCATCGCTTAAAATGTTCTCCGTTAACATCGAAATCCGTGTTTCTTTCTTCCTGTCCTTGTTTATTTAATGTTCGTTAGCGTATCCTTTACGTGTACGTTGGTGCAAACGAGTCGGAATATTTCGTTTTCTAACACTTTTATAGTTGTTCAGAAGCCGTAAGAATTTATTTCTTTGACATCGATCGACAGTTTTCCATACGGTACACGTATTACGCGAATATTAATACCAATACCGAATAAAGTAAAATTTATTAGAACTTTTCGATCGATGTAAGTAGATGCGCCGATAGCGTTACAGCTACAGACGACGATATATTTGTTTAAAAATCAATTATTAACTTGCATTATAGTAGTTGCGACACTTGGTGCATTTTAACAAGTTACGTATCGCATGCGAATGGTACCGCCTTTGCCAAGCTTCTACAATTTATCACTTGTTACTAGACTGCGGATATTTATGCAAGTTCATACCTTTACGACAACAACTAAACGAGCGAAATCTGCGCAGCGATTTGCTTCACCCGCTATATGTTACGACTAACGTTTTACTTTGAATATCTCGCGTATCTTTCGACGTTATTCGCATTCTCGCATATATTTTTGTTCACAAACGCATAAAAGTCCGCAATCTACTTATTGTTCATATAGAAAAATGCTACGGGTGCCTTAAAACAATTACAAAAGGCAAGACACCCTTGCTGTAACCGAGAGATCGATTTACGAGTCGGAAACTTTTCTATCCCGATATAAAATCCTCGTCAGCGATTCTAGTGCTTTTTCTCGCTTTCCATTTTCAATTTACTAACGTTATTAATTAATAAATTATCGTACA